CACTTACCGGAACTTCTGCGGAAAATTGGATTACTTCAAGCGATATAAACTGTCGCACCATACCCGTTCCCTCCTTTTACTGGATAAGATTATTTCGAAGTGGCCTCTGGTATTCTGTGTTCGTGGTCAATCAATAATTCTCAGTGTCGGTATTCAACCAGCTGCATTATTATATCTGCAGCAGCCTGCACCAATGGAATCGACGACATCCATTTTCGTCGTTTTCTGGCGCCAGTTGACTTCAGTGTTGTCCCTGGTTGCGCTAAAATGGCGCTCAACAACACTGACCGATGCCATATTTATCATCAGACAACTTAATTACTTCTATAGGCAAAGTTTCGACAAACAATGAAGGCGCTCATGTCGTCGGGGGGGGGGGGGGATATGGTATTCAAGTGAGCGTGTCACTTATAATTTTTGGGATTGAGCCTTAGGGAGGAGAAGGGATTCTGAAAGGGTTTGAGCAATTTCTTTTCTCTCCGGGATTTCCTCTCGGTGAAAATGTAGTTCGGGGGAGCCACTCATAATATCTAATCAAAGTGGCAATATCTAATCGAAGTGGAGTTGCGGAAGGGCGGTCATATCTAATCAACATTCAGAGCACAGGCTCTGAGTGTATGATTAGATAGGGATACCAACCCGGGATTCCGTACAAAATCGGATACCTGAAAGGCCCTTTCGCCAAGGGCTTGCATGGCAATCGCAAGAAGGGTTGGTGAAAGTGAAGAGTCAGCAAGGTGACAGCCGTTTTCGCCATAGGACAAGGGTAACAAGTGTGACGAACTGGTCGTTTGCCGCTTACTCAGTGAAAGATATGATAAGATATGAGTGCCTTCCCGCAACTATACTTTGATTAGATATGAGTGTCTCTCCGCTACTCCACTTCGATTAGATAGGGTGCCCCCGAACTACATTTTCACCATGGTCCTATAGTTTGAGACAGCTGGTTTCACGGTTTCTGAGCCTTGGTTTTGAATGCCCACCTTAGGCTGGTGTCAGAGTCCGCGATCGTGTCGCAAGTTATCGCTGACTTTCGCGATTTGCGCGAAACCTGCGACGGATCGCAAAAATTGCAAGTGCCCCATTTGAACATTTGAAACACTGAATATGAAACAAGTGGAATCATGAGCAGTCGTCATTCAGCCATCACTATCAAGCAGAAGTGGCGGCAGGATTGGAGAACACCTTGCAGTATTGATCGGGCACTTGTGATTTCCGTGACCCGTCGCGTGAATCGCGTGAATTCGCGCCAAATGCTCGTGTCAGAGCCCGCGCCCCGCGATCCAGGACCGTGGACTCTGACACCGGCCTGCATTCACGACGTAAGCAAACCAGCCCTTTTGGCACATCGGCTGGGACCGTATGCTGAATGTTGGGGAGGGGATGGAGTCCCCGACGGTGGACGGACAACTTCAACTCGGTCCTTAGAACCGCCACAATTTGGCGCTTACCTTAGAACTAAGCCTTAAAGAGAGGACGGGTCCGTCCCCTCTCCTAGGCTTAGTCCAAGGGTGAGCAGACCGGTCCTTCTGGCGAAGCTACTGGACCAGCTGCACCACTTGCGTCAGTACTCTCCTATCGTACCAACCGAGTTGAAGTAAACCGTCGACCGTTGGGGACCCCATCCCCTCCCCAACATTCAGCATACGGTCCCAGCCGAAACGCCAAAAGGGCTGGTTTGCTTACGTCCTAATCTACTACTCTCCAGCGATTCAATCGATACGTATCCAATCTTGTCAGCGCAATATCCTACTCTACTACTATCCTAATATCCTTGTCGCTTACTATCCTAATCTCCCTTAGTTGCGAACTATGAACGCGACCTAATCGTTGTAGCTGCTTTTGATCCTTTCGTTATGCATTAATAAGTATGAATTAAGCGGGGATTTTCAAATATGTGTAGTTCTTATTGATATTTTGATTCTCTAAAAAGTGCTTTCTTTGTGTTTCGTTCTTCCAGTTTGTACCGTTCGACGTATTGTTGTTGTTTTTTGAAGCTTGGCGCTCAACATATTTTTTATAGCGCAATGATTCCATATAAGAACCAGATGGCGATGCCCTGGCAGACTCAAGCATTATTGGATTTTCCGCTATTTTCTGGTATGTGCGCATGGTTATGTCACATAGGTAAGATTCAATTTTGTGTAGTTTCGAATTTTATTTTGTGAATTCTTTTCCCAGTGTAGGGTTGTGGTAATGCTTATAGTAAATGAAACTGAACGCTATTTCACAACTACAACCCAAAATCCCAGGAACAGAGGATCCTTCCCTATGGTCTACGCATTACTTTGACTTGGATTTTAAACCTGCGGCAGTTTGCTGCCCTTATGTGCGCACCCTCGTCTGAACAGCGGCTCACTAGAATGTGACCTCACTCACTGAAACTTCGGCCTCGTGGTTAATGCGGTTGTAACAGAGGAATACCAAAATTTTTATACTTTGTCGTGTATTCATGCAAATGTTTAAGGTGTGGTGCTCCTCGACACCTTTGACTCTTCAGTATTACGAGCACAGACGTTTTATACAAACGAAGTGGCGGCGGATAAGGAATGTATCATCATCGAGCAGTCTAGAGGCATCTCTCCGATTCAGAAGTCGGGTACGTGACACGTATTCACTCCCAAGCCATCACAGACCTAATGTGTGCTCCTCGTCGATCGAGTCAAAAAAGTCCAATCATTCGGATCATCGAAATTCCGGCTGGAAGTCGCACCATCTTTTGACTAATCTAATAACCTACAAAGTAGTGTTAGCCACCATGGATGCTCGACGGTTAACTTGAACTTCATTTTTCCTTTCATTTTATTATCAATTTCGCTTAAATTGTTTGAGAATTGATTTGTTAGAAGCATCGTGAGCGAAAGACTTGATGCTTCCTTCTGATGGATAATCGCTAGCCTTTATAATATTAAGAATCTGCGAATAGACAGGAAGAGGGGTGTTGCTCCGGATAGGCCGATATCAAACCGTCGCTTGAGCGATCCGTTGCTCCCGAAATTTGTGCAAAATCGTGCCCCTCGCAGGTCATATGTGTGTACGATTTGGTTTTGAAGGCACTGTGTTTTACTACTATCTGTTAAGAGCTTCAAAAGCAAAGGCGATAAGCGTAAGAAAGCCGTGCAAAAATTGTTGCAGGAAATAGACAGAGCTGCACCAGAACTACGTCAATTGCCCATCGTCTGCGCCAACTCTGTGACCAGTTTGAATTGGAATTTGAGGGCCAAGGATTGTTTCATGGTGCTGCGAAAAGTGACACGGAAGACTGGGTAAAGTGCATACATATAATTTCAATTTTGAGTGT